ATCTGCGGGCGTTGTCAGTTCATTGCATAATGTCAGGGGCATATTTGTTGACGGGCATCATCTTCGTCGTGTTGTTGTCGTCATCAGCAACGGCGACACCGTCAGTCATACTCATCATTAGTGCCGCTGTTTTGGGAACGATTTATGTTTGCAAAACTTTCAACAACATTCAAGAGCCTGGCAAGTGCCAGACGAGTGGACAACGATGTTGTTGCTGCTGTTGTTGTTGATGTTTGCTTTGGATGTTATTCTTGTCATAAGAATGGCAACAACAATTTCCATTCATATGCCAATGGTCATTCAAGGGGTAAACCAGAATGAGAAGCAGCAAAAAAATCATCATCTCTTTCTCACACAAAACCAAATGTAGATAAAAACGAAACAAAGGAAATAAAACCAAGGAGAACAAAAAACAAATGCACTGAAATCTGTAGTTATTCAATTGAAAACGACGAACGGAACAAGCCAAAAAAGAACCTCAAAAATCTGTGGTTGGTAAAAAGAATTAAATTTTAAAGCATACTTTTGGGTATTGAAGATTGCTTTGAATGAAGGCTTCCTTGCTCGCTGGCTGGTCGATTCGTTGGTTGGCTGGCTACAAAAATGATGCTGCGGTATATGTATATGATCCCGTCTGAAACCATTGGCAAGGGTATACTTTATAGGTCTCTCTGCGATGTGTTGTTGTTGTTATTGCTGCTGCTGCTGGTGGTGGCGGCATCGGCTATTTGTGTTTGTATGTATGTGGTCAGTATTCCTTTTTTAATTAATAAGACATGAATGAGCAAATGAAAAAGAACTGCAATCTGTTTGCTTGTTATATTTTTTCGGTCAATCCCTTCTTTCTCAGACGCATATGACGAACTCAATCAGAAATCTGATGCTAGTTTTTTGTGCTCTCGTCTTTCTTTGTGTGCGAGCTTAAAAGGAAGTGTGGGAAAAAAACAAAGAAAGATCTGCATGCATGAAATACTAAAAATGAAGAATTAAAAGGATTTTTAAATGAAAACGTATGTATGTTGAAAAAAAAAAAAAATACGAAATCGCCAGTCATGCAAACACCAGCGGACTTATCATCCGCATCGGCGTCGGCATCATCATCTTCAGGCGAATTGGCATTTTTGACATTTTTATAAAGCGAAATGTATATCGATTTTAATTAAAATTCTTGTTTCTGTTTTCATTGATTTTTATTAAGAGTAATTATTTTTTCATCATAAAGCTTTTTGTTCTGATTTATGCTGCTTTGGACCGGTATATTGGTTGCAAGCAAGTCAGCAAGACGACTACACAAGACAAATATGTTGTGCCGACCGCGAGTGATCAATTCAATAACAGGAAGTCTTAGCTTCGACTAACTTTTCCACATGAGCTTCAGCTCATTGTTCTATATCATAACTCAAACATTGGTCGCAGAGGTAGTCATAAACCGTAGCAATATCTTGAATAGTTTCCTAGCCATTGTGGACGATCCAAAATGTGTATATATAACCAAACATTTCCACAATGAGATGAAAAGCCCAAATGAGCCACGATCCATCTGCAAAGGCCTAGACGTCGACTCCTGATCATATCCACAATGAGCACAACGAGTACCGAGTCATTAACAAAGGTCTAGATATCGGCTGCCGAGCATATCCACAGTGAACCGAAGCTGAACGAATCCCAATTGATCTTAGAAGACCTGAACAGCGGCCCCCGAGTATTTCTATAGCTTACTTTTGTCCATTGACGATTGTACCACGAGCTCACTGCCAGTCTTCGAAGGCCTGGATATCAACATCCCAACCACCTACATCATAAACCCCAATTATACGCCAATCTTTAGTCCAATACCATTCACTGAGGCTTCCAATTGCTCCCGAAATCGTCACGACGTTACTTCGATCACAAACATCATGATTCCTGATTAAATACAACCCATCAATAACCAACAACCATAAGAGTCCGGTAACCTTTAAATCGTCAATATCTCGAATGACGACATCGTAATTCATGGTCTCTTGGCGATCATCAAAAAAGTTCCTGATTACCATCAAATCATCACTATCCGTCACCTGGACAAAAACATCGTGACTCCTGATCTTCCTCATTTTTTCACATCCGACGATCACCCTCGCGTACCCGATCAACTTCTAATCGAACCAATCGTGTACTACCCGACATAACAACAACACAGTTCCCGATTGTGCACGAGTCGTTCATCCTCTTGCCAACGAGACATCGTAAACGTTAAATTCCCGAACATTAACTGAACAACTCTACTTCAAATTGCCGAGCACCTCTGAAGTCCATATTCATTTTGTCAAACAGCGTAGATTGTAGTACACGAGTAGATTGTACTTTAGAGTTTAAGTCAATAAAACATCCGATTTAAGGCCCAGGAAAGGGAAAAATTCAGGGAGACCCTGAGTACTGTTGGGATTACCTCAGCCAAGGGAAAGACCACGTTACAAACTCGTTTGGGATAATACGCCAAAGCTCATACAATGAAGCGGAGCCACTGTGGTACTCGGCGATCGACTCTATAATGAACGGCTAGAAGTGTCTGACACAGTGGTATTCAGGTTGATGGGAAATAGGGAGAAGTCCGCTCAGACAGCAGTTGAATTAGTTAGAGATTATGCCATTATGTAAAGGTTACGCCTTAAAAAAATGGTCGTAAAATATTATTTGAACCAGTTTAAATACTCAAAAGTGAAACAAATCTATACCTTTTTATACCCAACAACACTATGTGTTGGGAGTATTATAAGTTTGATTGGGCTAACAATTATGTAACACCTTGAAATATTGGTTTCCCACATACGAAAGTATATTAGGATCTTCCTATCTCGACGAGCTGAGTCGATCTAGGACAGACGGACGTCCGTCTGTCCTTGTTAATTTGTAATCACTCTACAGGTCGCAATTATGGCCCGCTCCTCACGAAATTTAGCATGGAGGTGGGGAGAAGCCTCTTGCTTCTGAATGATGATGATCGCATAATATTTAAAAACTTCCTGATTTTGTAGTTGCTCTATAGATCGCAATTATAAACCAATCGACGCGGAAGTTAGCATTAGGCTAGAGCTTAGAGCTGGGCAGGAGTCTTCCAATTTTGATGGTCATCGGGTAGTATGCACCATAACATAGGTGAAATAGACCATAAATTTGTGTTTAATAAAAGTCAAACTTTCCATTAAACCGCGAATATTTTTAATCCCGGCAAAATCACAAATAGACGAATATTTAAATTCTGACCGTAACGTAGATGCCGATAGTAAATATATCAGATATATATAGCAAAATATATACAATGTGTATATACAAAGGAAGGGGATATTAGCTAGAATGCTTATGGTTAATGGCTGGACCGATTTTGACAAATTTTATCAATTCAGCATAATAGTATAAAATCTAAAAAAATGTTAAATGTTGATGTTTATATAGATTTGGTAGTATTTTGTGACATTTTTTTATTTTTTCATATTTTTTATCGCATGCAATTTTAAATTTGACTTATAACATTGAAGTATACATTTTGTACTATTTTTTCACCTTACAATGCAGGTTGGGGATTTATATACAGATTGAAATCATAGTCCGACACTCACGAAAATTTTTACAAGGGTATGACCAGGCTGAAAAGGTCTACGCCTATTGTTTTCAAAGATGTCCACAATATACAGGGTGAGATAAAAAAACTGCAACAAAGTCAAACGCCATAATTTTTACATTTTTTTTTTTCAATTTTATTAAGTGAAAGCAAAAAATGTCGGAAATAGCATCAAATTTCAGAATAAAACTAGATTTGTTCGAATTGGCCACCTTTGGCACGAATTATGGCCTTCAAACGGCCACTGAAACCGTCACACGCTGCCCGAAGGTTGCTCTGCGGTATTTTGGCCCATTCCCGACGAAGCGCTTGCATGCGGTGATCGACACTTTGGTATTTTTTGTGCCAACATTGCTTTCCAAAATACTCCAGACACAATAGTCCAACGGATTGGTGGCCGGGGAGCCTCAGTCCTGCTAAAATGTCCAAGTTCTGCGTACAAAATATTTGCGTGCCCAAGACTTTAATACACCCTCCAGAATATTTTCGCGATAATGTTCGGTATTTATTCTGATGCCACAGTCGTTTGTTACGAGCGGAGAGCGACCATCGGCTGTTTTGGCGGGCCACACCATCACCATGGCCGGCGCTTAAGTTCTGGTGGTCAACCGAAGGTGCACATTTTCATTTTGTTTGGCAACTAAACACGATCATTTCGTTTATTTACAAACTGCAGGACAACGAATGTTTTCTCATCGGACAAAATCAAATTCGGCAGTTCACAACTTACTTCTTTAGCTCTTTTGAGTCTATTATCTTTCTGTTTGCGGTGTAAGTTCTTGCACTTCTTTGAATTTTAATGGCTTTACTCTGAGCTCATTTTTTCAATATTTGCCGAATGGAATATTGCGATATGTTCAGCTCACCAACCATTTTTCGGCCGTCTGTCCCTCGGTTCATGGATTTTTGTAAACAAAGTACAGATCGCATTTATTGTCCGATGCAGAAGAAATTTTTCACAAATCATTTGTTTGACCCAAGAACTAACCTATATATATCTTCATCCGATTTGCTTTTTATTGTGTACCAAATGTGTAATATTAGCCCAAATAGTATGGAATTTTGGCCAAATTAGGCTTGGAAATAAGTATGCCAAATTTGATCGAAATCGGTTCAGATATAACTATAGCTCCCATATATAATGATCATCCGATTTGTTTTTGTCCTTCGCAGCCGTAATATGCACTCTATAACAACGATATTTGGGAAAATATATCAACTACAGCTAAGAAATACCTTTGCTAAATTTTATCAAGATCGGTTCGTATTTGGATATATCTCCCATATATGTATGGGTCGCATAAAAAATACTTTTGTTGTGAAAACATAAATCCCATGCTACCAATATGCCTTTTTTACTCAAAATGTATTTAAATAATTTTATTTGTGTTTTTTTTTTTTTTTTCAAATACATAAGATGTGAAATATTATTATATGCTATGGGATCGTCAGTAAGAATCCTTCTTTAAATTCAATGTTAAGAGCTTAGGACTCTAATTCCCACATTATATTGTTTTACTTCCTTCTTGCTGCTGGTGCAGCTCTGAATGGTTTACGCCTTGACTTGGAATCGACTATCAATACCGATTGGCGTTTTAGGAAATTACGCGATGGGACCTCACTTTCTTCCTCATTTCCGGCGGCAGCTGAAAGGAAAACAAAAATAATAAATAAAAATTTATTGAAAGTGTAGAGCATATTTATCCTTCTATATATACCGGCAGCTGGTGCCTGTTCGGGAGATGATGACAGAGTTCCTGTAGCCCTTTGATTTCTACCGGCCAACAAATTGTAATAACACATGGGCATGACAGCTGGTTTCTCGTTTTCATGGGCCGATGGACTTTTGGGCGGTTGCAAGGCCATCATAAATTCTTCCTCCTGTAAAAGGTGCATAGAAGTGAATCAGAAAGAGAAACAGAAATATTGCTTCGGCTTTACTTACACTTATGTCCAAATCCAGTTTGTCGCCAGACATTTCCTCTGGCAATTTATTCAATTCCTGACATTTTTCCAATTTATATTTCAAAATCTAAAAAAGGCAAATGTTTAAAATAAATTTTAAATTTTTGTGTTAGCTTTAACTGCTAAAAATAACCTGTATCAAATCTCTATCCTCTGCCTTGTGTACCAAAAAATCTGGCAACTCTTGAACTTGAATGCTGACATCTTTATCCTTTAATTCCACTTTGGTTTCATTTACCTCCTGCAGTTTGTAAATCATTTCACATAAACGATCTTTGATAAATTTTAGAACATCCATTGTTTTTTCGGCCGATTCCAAATTCTTTTCACGCTCAATTTCATAGTCAGCTATCTGACTTTTTATGTGTTCTATTACTTCTTGGTTCCTAAAAACAAGGAATATAAAATGAAATTCGATTTTTTTCTAATTTCCACCCCCACATACACTTCCTTTTCTTTGACATCGGAGAATTTGGAGGATTCCAATTCTTTGGTTAAATTTTCCCTCAACTGTTCCAAACTGTTCTTCTCCGCCTCAGCAGCTGCCCTCAAGTAATTCAAGCGCAGAGCTGATTCCTTCTGCGATGAGAATCGCTCAAACACCTCATGAGGTGATGTAGCTCCAGAGACTTCCATAAGATTTTTAAATAATTCCTCCATACCACCGGTTACATTCTTAAGCTGAGAATTCTCATCCTCCTCTGCTTCGGGTTTCCCGGTATGTGGTTCACCGGAACTAGAGCCAATGCTGTCCTGATGATGTAGCGTTTTACCCTCAAAGAAGAGTTTTCTTCCGATACGTTCTAATTCCATTTTTCGCTGCTCTACCAATTTGCGAAACTCCATAGCTTGCCGCTCACGTGTCTTCTGTGAGATATTCGCCTGATGCTCCTGTCTTTGCAGTATGACCTTGGCTGAGTCACGCATTTCAATGGCCTCGTTGTGAATTTCCTGGAAAGCATTTTGGAAATAATTTGGTGTCGATTTTCCATTATCTGTATATTACCTGTAACCGATTGATTTCCTGTTGCTGCTCACTCAAAGCCACTTCTAATTCCCTCAGACTTTTTTCAAAACGTTCAGCATCATTCATAAGGGAGGCCTCAATGGAGCGATATTTTTTGCGAATATGTTCCGCCTCCATCCACTGAACATTGGTGCGATGGATTTGATTTTCCAATTGACAAACTAACTGTGGTGTGGAAAAGGAGATAATGTTTATTTAGAGAACTCACAGACATGGATTAGACTTAAAACCTATTAAAGGAGGTCATTAAAGTCTAATTATTATCTTAATAATATTTTAAAATTTCAAATTAAATTCCGCTCATGTATTAGGTTTAGTACCCTACCTAGTCTCAGTAAATAATAAGTTAAAAAGCAGTAAGTTCGGCCGGGCCGAACTTTGAATACCCTCCACCATTTGGAACGAATTTGGAAATTTTCAAAAAAATAAAATCCTTAACAAATTCTGTTAAATTTTTAAAAATACTGAATATAGCTGTTATGTTGGTGTCTATACGACGTGGACCTACATAGGCATTGTTTGTCATAAGCCATTACCATATTCAAATTCGAAACTTAAAATAAATGGTGAATAGTGTAGCTAAAATCATCAAAATATCGTACATAGGGAGGTACCGTTATATCGGAGCTGTGCGAGGACCTGAACCAGCATAGACAATTTTATGTCATAGGCTGTAGTATCCATTATGAACTTCAAATACGACATCTCAAACAATTTCGGTGGGTATTGCATCTAAAATCGTCAAAATACCGAATATAGGGAGGTACTGATATATGGGGCCTATACGAATACCTGGACTGTAGTACCTATTACGAACTTTAAATACCAAATTTGAAACAATTCCGGTGAATAATGTCGCTTAAATCATCAGAATACCGAATATCGGGAGGTACCGTTATATGGGGGCTATATGAAAACGAGGACCTACATTGCCCTTTTACGAACTTAACCTGCCTATTGGAAAAATAAACATGTGTGCAAAATTTTAGCCTTCTATCTCAATTCGTTCGAAAGATAGCGTGATTACAAGAGACAGACGGACATACTGACAGATAGACGGACGGACATAGAATTTTATGCTGATTAAGAAAATATATACTTTGTGGGGTCTAAAATGTATATTTCGAGTCGTTACAATCCGAATGACAAACTTAATATACTCTCCATTCTATGGTGGAGAATATAAAACGAGCCGTATGAAAAATATATAAAATTGATATGTGCTCGTAGTACATCCAAACCTCTTGGAAGGTGATAAGGTGTAAGTCCGATTCAACTAACATCCATACGGTACCAAGCACCTCGATATTATTCTGTTTTCACACTTGCATATTTTTGAAATCCAAAAACTTAAAATCTCTGTTCTTTAAGAAAATTTAAATTACAATTCCCTTTTTTACTCACCTTCCGATTATTGTCCTCCTCCAGTGTCTCCGGTGGCTTCTCCCCCAAATTCTGTTCCTGTGCCTCCTTGTTGGCCACCAGCTCACGATACTGTTCCATCAATTTGGCAAAGTGTTGTTTGCGACACTTGAAACGATGTCTCAACAAATCCAATTGTTTGCGATTCTCGGTGATTTTCAAGTCCGTCAAGAAAATGGCATCGTCAACATTTCGCGCACCAATTGGATAGCTCACTTTGCCCACAACAATTGTGGGCAGCGCTGAACTAGTTTTCCTCACCTTCTCACCGGGCACCGCAACCGCATTGGTTGCGGCGGTTTCTTTCATAATAACGGAACGTTGCAATGGATTGCGTAGACGACCACATTTCACAGTTAATTCTTTGATTTCCTTTTTGAGCGTTGAGATGGTGTCACAATTGATGCGATTTTGTTTCTGCCATTCAGCCAAATTGGCGGTCTTTTGACCTTCTGTAAGGACCAAAATGGGGACCATAAAAAGTAATAAGAAAATATTCTTTTCTCAAGGACGTTTTTAGGGAGTTTTCCTGTAAATACATACCTGCTAGTAAAATGCGTTTCTTAATTTCTGCAATCTTCTGATTGATATCTACTTTTTCAGTTTCCATTTCTAGGCGATTATTATACGTCCGTTAAGCTACACTTTTTGTAAAAGTTTCCTGTGAATTTGTGAACTTTAGGCTATTTTCATTGATTATCCAGTTGCCAAACATTTCACAAAGACCAAGACAACGGTTGCTATAAACAAATGGTATAACGACGCCAAACAAAACGAAATGGCATTGGGTGGTTGTTTTTAGTTTCCTCGCTGATAGGAAGAGAATAATATTAAACAGTGGCATACCGGCGGTGAGAATGATCCTGAATTACAACGGGTACACCCTCACTCAATATGAGATGTTGATGTTTTTACTGGAAAATGTGTAACTCATCAAAATAATTATTTTACACATAACAGAGTATAAGACGATTTAGCCCTGTCCGTCCGTCTGTTTTAATCACGCTACAGTTAAAACGAAATAAGATAGGAAGCTTAAATTTTGCACAGATTTGTCTTTTGTCTGCAGGCAGGTCAAGTTCGAAAATGGGCTATATCGGTCCACGATATTGTATAGCCCCCATACAACGGTTCCCAAAATTTGCTAAATGTTTCAATGTAATTGTCTGAAAATAAGCTCAAGGGGTTCCTCCTCCCCCTGGAAGAGAATTGTCTTTATACGTTATACGATATCATATACCCCCTATATAACCGTACCCCCCGATACTCGGTATTTTAATGATTGCAGCCAAATTTCTCAATGAAATTGTCTGAAAGTCCACAGAAGGAGTCCCTTCGGAGAACTTTATTTCCTGGAAGAGTATTGTCTATATAGGTCCATATGACGGTACTTCCCAATATTCGGTATTTTGATGATTTTAAGTTGCTTCAAAGTTCGTATTTAGAGTTTGTTGTGAGAAGTAGAGTCTATGGCAGAAAATTGTATATGCAGATCCAGGTCTTCGTATAGTCACCATTTATCAGTACCTTTCTATATTCGGTATTTTTACGATTTTAGGTACTATATTCACCAAAATTGTTTGAAATTTCGTATTTGAAGTTTTTAATAAGTACTACATCCTGTGACTCAAATTGTCTATGCAGGTCCAGGTCTTCCTTTAGTCTCGGTATAACGGTACCTTCCTATATTCGGTATTTTGATAATTTTAGCTACTTTATTTACCGGATTTTTTTTTTCAATTTCGTATTTGAATATTGTAATTGGTTATGATAAAAGTTGCCTATATCGGGTTACGTCTTCCTATGAACCCTAACGGCTATATTTGGTATTTTTAAGTTTTTAACAGAATTTTTAACGGATTTATTTTTTTTGAAAATTTACAAATTCGTTCCAAATGATGAAGGGTATTCAAAGTTCGGCCCAGCCGAACTTACTGCTGTTTTACTTGTTTAAAATTCGGAGGTATAGGTGTCATCTTTTGGTACGTCCTCCAAAAAGGATATAGCTAAACTCTGCTGGTAATGCTGATGATATGTATCTGTCAGAACATCGACTAAATCTTTCTATGCCCTATAAAATGTCTTTAAGCAATGGTTTGGAACATAGAGAAGGCGATGATATGGACCCATAATTTAATCCGACCTTTGGTATTATATCATAGTAGGGTTTCATAAACCCGAATAAAAAATATATGCAGACAAGCCAACATTTGCGCAGTTCCAATAATGTAAAAAGAAAACCCGCACGCATACATTGAAAAGCCGATGGTCCCAAAAGAGTAAGTGTTTGATGCAGATTTTGGTCCAGTGGTCGTTACATTATAATGTTATGTTCAACGAATTTTTGTTCACACAAATCGAAGAGGCGGAAATTGGCAACCTCTTATGCCTCCGATCTGTCCAAATTCACATGGAATTCGACCCCACATTCTGAACGCAACAGAAGTTATTGGCCTAGACATGATAAAACGTTCTCTATTCGGCCTTATTTTAACCAATCTTCGTCATGATCAAATTAAATGTTGATTTTTTGTAGCTTCGTTTTTTTTTTCTGTGCTTTTCTTCTTAACTCGTTAAAACTGGCCATAAGCCCAAGATTTACGTTCAAATATTTCTCGGGTCGAATTTGTAATACCCTCCACCATTGGGAAGGAACTTGTAGAAATGCCGCTATAATTTTAAAAATTCCAAATTTCAGATATTTGGTTATATGGGGCCGTCCGTCTGTTGTAATCACTCTACAGTCAAAACAAATTAAGATAGGGAGCTAAAATTTTGCACAGATCTCTCTTTTGTCTGCAATGTTCAAGTTCGAAGATGGGCTATATCGGTCCACGATATCGTATAGCACCCATACAACGGTACCCCCCGAAATTCGGTATTTTGATGATTTTAGCCATATTTATATTTCAAATGGAATTGTCTGAAATTCCACACAAGGAGTACCTTGTGAGCACTTTATCCATGGAAGAGAATTATCTATATAGGTCCACGATATCGTATAGCCCTCATATAACGGTACCCCTGATATTCGGTATTTTAATAATTTTAGCAACGTTCTGCAACGGAATTTTCTGAAATCCACATAAGGAGTTCATTGTGGGTACTTTATCCTTTGAAAGAGAATTATCTATATAGGTTCATAATATCGTATATCCCTTATATTACGGTACCCCCCGATATTCGGGATTTTGATGATTTCAGCCATATTTCCAACGGAACTGTATGATATTCCACACAAGGAGTTCCCTATGAGTACCTTTTACCCATACAAGGAGTTCTTTTTGAGCACTTTATCCCTTTGAAGAGAATTATCTATATAGGTCCTCGATATCGTATAGCCCCATATAACGATACCCCCCGATATTCGGTTTTTTGATGATTTTAGCCACATTTCCCAATTGAATAGTCTGAAAATACACACGAGGAGTTGTTCGTGATCACTTTATAGTACTGTCCATGTTTAAAATTTAAATATATTTATGTATTTAATGAAAACACTTTAAAACTCTCAATTCCAACACAAATTGTCTTTTTGTACCATCATCAGATTTAGAGCAAATACGTACGTATATGTAACCAACATGATAATCTTCGACCCACATTCCAACGGAAAACTTTCTTTGACTGTGTAACCACGCAAATGAAATTATTTTCTTCTCCATTTGTGTTTCCGTTACCTTTTGTAAAGAATTGTATTTCCTTTTTCCTTAAAGATTTCTAAGCCTTTCCTTTCATCGTTTCCCTCCAGTTTGGTATAAGGATGATAATGAATGCGACAACAACGACGATGACATGTGTGTGGCGGGCCTTTTAATTTGTCATTAGTACTCAGACTGTTCAAATGGGAAGGAATGTAATTACACTGGTTAAATCTGTAACAAGTAAAGGGAGAAGGTGAATATTTTAAACGATTTTATTTCAATATAAATTTGTGATTTTTTAAATGATCTGATTACATATTATGATAATTTTTCAATACATCAAATGGCGATCATTATCTAATAGCCAAAAATCGTAAGAAACGGACCTGAACGTATGGCACATAGAGGTTAACCCGTTTACTTTATATTCTTCAAGGATAAATGGGATTGTCAAAACGTACTCTTGTCTCTATTAAAGACCTAGTTTTTGACAGATTTATAAACCGAATCCTTATTTAAAAACAAAGTTTATCCATTCAAAGCTACTTTTTTCGTACCTTTCTTCTAGTTCTAAGTTTACAAAACATCCTACCTAAAGCGTTTCTACAAACATTTTCAACAGATGTTGCTTACATTGGCTCATTTATAGCCGGTGATATTCCTGAATGTTGTTTTTGCAAAAAGTGAAAATATTTTCTAATTTCAAATGTGTTTAGGACATTTAGCTACAATGTCGTCGTATACGGCATGAAATACCAAAAACATAATGGCACCATTGCAATGAAAATTTATGATAACTGAAAATGTCATTGTAACGTTAACAAGGTACAATGAAAAAAAGTGTGTAATTTAGGACATCATGAACAGGTGTTATGCAACATGAAAAACTGAAAATGTATTTGTTTTCTTAAAAAAGGCAAAGGAAATTAGTGATGGCTAGAGGGAAGGGTGACACTGTGCGTTTAAATATAATAATTTTAACAATTTATAAAGGTAAGGAAATGTCAAAAGTGGACGGGGTCAACTATATGTACCGTACACCACTATGCATATTAAGTAGATCTCCCGTAACAAAAGAATTTATTTGAAATAGATTATACAACCTATCAACATTTAGCTTTAGAGCTGTTACAATTTGGTTTCAAAGGGTACAATTATATGGGAGGCATATCCAATTCTGAATCGATTTTCACTAAATTTGAAGAAAACATTTTAATCTGATTTCGGGTTAATTGGGTACAAAATGGCCAATATATGTCAAAAAAATCTTAAATTCTGGTACGTTCGACCGCATTCAGTCTAGAAGCAAGCACATCAAATTTGGAGCAAATCGGTTCAAATATAGCTAAAGCTCTAATATTTATGTTTCATCCGATTTTGTGTTAAAGTCCTTCACATTCGTAATATGCATTCGACAACAATGATATTTGGCACCAGATAACTTATAGAGCTTGGAAATACCTTTGCCAAATTTTATCGAGAACGGCTAAGATTTGGATAAAGCTCACATATATATCCTTAATCCGATTTCAGGTTTATTGGGCAAATAATTGCGAATATAAGCCCAAATTCAGTGAATTTTGGGAACCCGGTCCCGATATATATATTTTTAATACAATCCTGCTCGAAGTAATATCATGCACTCTATAGCAATGTTGTTGCGGAAATCTACTAAATATGCGTAGTGGCGTAGGGTATCATATGGTCGGCCCTGCCCGACTTTTGAAAAGAAAGGACACTTTTTTAAAATTTCCAAAGTTCTTCCAAATGATGGAAGTTCGACCCGGCCCTATTCGGTATTCTGTGCTTTATAATTTTCTTCTTACCCTAACTGATTCGAAAACGTATGTCGATCAAAACCTGTCATATTCCTACTCACCAATAGCTTCCGATTCATCACGACGTTGTGGCTCATATCGGTACACTGCCATTGCGTATACTTATTAAAACATTACTCAGAGACAGGATGAGATGAAAGAACTGCAACCAACTTCAGGCTGCTGTCATTTTCAAGCCACTCGTCCGATTGCTGTTAA